CTAGGACTAATTGTTTCCATGAATTTTGGTTTTCTTCATTCTTTGCTCTGGACGAGGAGAGACCCATCGTTGCATCTAGATGGCAGGTTGCAAGCTTTTAAGATCCCAGTCGCTACTCATCTGGGTAATTCTTACAGAAGTAAATTGCCAGGGATTTTTCTTTGTGGTGCTGCCAGGAGGGTTTGAACTGCCGACGTTTCGGTTACCAGCTTGTGGGAGGCTGAAGTGGAAAGTCAAAGGATCCCTTCACTGAAAAATTGCAGCACTTTAACAGACTAGCAGGCATGGTTAAAGTCAACATTCCTCATAGTGACTAACCTGCTATTTTTCTCTTCCTTGTACTTTCTTTTAAGTAAATAGAATAACCAACATCTTTATGGATGCTGAGTTCTTTAGATTTGTTGTTTTCAATAATGTATTCTTCTAAGCAAAACCCTGTCCCACGACTGGTTTCAGCTGAGAACCGTAGCCTATGAAGCAAGACGACCTGGGGAAAAGGAACGCTGAGTCTGGAGTAACCAGAGAAGAACAAAGACATCCCTGGCAGTGCAAGGGCTCTTCAACCCCCTTCCCATCTCTGTGCATAATCATGTCACCCCTTTGCCCGAGGAGACAGACATTTTACAGAAGTGACTCTCTCCGTCTCCTTGAGTATCAGTACTCAGTAAACCTTCTGCTTTCCCGCTTCAACCTGTTATGATCACTGGGTCTTCACAACACCGGGTAAGGGCCTTGTTTTCCCACCACAAGGTGAACATGAACCGTTTGTATCACCCAGTGGCCCTCTACAACCCTCTTGACTGCTGCGAGGGTTGGGTCTCAGTGACCTGTGCTGGCCCTGGCTAGTCAGTCCTCTCACTCCTCTCCCCACAGGGCAACTACGTCACTCCTTCCTAATAGGGGTGTCATGTCCCAGAAAGCAGAGCGTTGACTCTTGGTTTCTCATAACCATGGTCCTTGTCCTTGTCCTCTTGTCAGAGCCGGCGGGGCTGAGACTGTGAAGTCCCCTCCCTTAGTTTACAGGTGAGGAAAGCCAGTTGATGGGGGTGACCTGCCCAAGGTCAAGTGGGGAGCCAAGACCCTGTCGGGGTGTGGTCTCCAGGTCCTAGCCCCAACCTATCATGGGGGGTGAGGTAGCCAGGGCTGTGTCCCAGCCCCCACCCCAAAACGGGCAAACTAAAGAGCGATTGCCCAAAGTGTCTGCCTGTCAGTCCCTCCATCTGTCCACTCTGACAAGTTCTTAGTTCAGTTAGAGTCTGGGCTCTGCCCATGTGACTGTCACTTTCTGTATCTGTAAAAAGGGGGGTCGCAGGGTTGTGAGAATCAAATCAGAAATGTGCCAAGCCTCGAGCCAGCTCTGGGGACCCTGGGGAACCCCACCAACTTGGTGCTCTTGCCAAGGGGGCAGGCTCTGTTCGTTCAAGTTGAGCGGGGGCTGCCGTGGCGGCCCCCCCCCGCCCCCCCGTGAGGGCAGCGGCAGCAGCTTCACCAACGTGCTCTTGGTTTCTCCGCAAGGGGACCCCTTTCAAAGTCAAAAAGACAGTCACAGTGACTGTTGACAGATGAGGACACGGTGAGCTCTTCCTGCGGTTCCTTGCAGAAAGACTCGCCCCACTGCTAGCCGCAGAGCCTGGCTTTGGAGGTGATGTGGGTGGACCACTGTGATTGACATTCATCCAAACTGCTGTCTCACCGTACTTTTGAGTTGTCTCTGAACTTTGAGAGTGAGGGAGAGCGTGTGAGAGAGTGAGAGGGACGGGGTGAGCCCCTAGGGGCTCCCCAGCGCTTCCAGGGGCCACCACTTTGCTGACCCACCTCCCCTTGCCTGCCTTCTCCTCCCACCGCGGAGGCTCGCTTTGCGGCTGCGCACAGCGCGCCCGGCCGGCGGGCGAGGTCACGTGACTCCCGCGGGCCGCCAAGATGGCAGCTCCCTGTGTGGCTCTGACGTGGGCGTGTGTGCTGCTGGCGGTGCTGCTGCTGCTGGGCGTGTGGAAGCGCTGGCGGCGGCAGCGGTCCGCAGCCCGGCACGTGGCCGTCGTGGTGCTAGGCGACTTGGGCCGCAGCCCGCGCATGCAGTACCACGCGCTGTCGCTGGCTCAGTGCGGTTTCTCCGTGTCCTTCGTGGGGTTTTACAGTGAGTGCCCGGGACGCGGGTCCGGGAGGGCCGCCGCTCCCTCCGCCTCTGCCTCCGGGCTTTGACCGCCCCAGCAGTCTGAGGCCGGGATGCCCCTTTTCTCGTTCCTTTCTCCGGCAGCCCGCCGAGACGGGACGAGCCCGGGGGTGCCCTGGTAGGCCGGTTTCCGGTTTCTGTTGAGTCTCTGCTGAATGGGTAGCTGCGAGCAGCTTGTCATGTGTCAGGACGGTGTCGCGTTACGGGAGTTTATTGTAAGAGTGTCCTTAATCCTCCTAGTAAGTGGAAAGGGTGGGACTGCGGCCCAGAGCCTGTAACTCTGGGGGACCTGTTGTCACCCTCACCTCCGTTCGCTCCTCCTGTGTCAACACAGGCGGGCTGTGCCTCGGCGCAGCGGCGGCACGCCACTGCCTTGACCTCTCACCCCTCAGCCGCGAGCTCGGCAGGAGGGGCTTTCGTTCGTGTTGCACGTCCAGGCCCCCGCTCCGCGTGTGTCTGCTCCATTTTCCTCGTGTTGACATCTTCGGAGGGTAACCCAACCCCCCAAAGAAAACAAAAACCAAACTCACTGCCATCCAGGCTATTCCGACTCATAGCGACCATCATTGGATTTCCTGAGTGGTGCATCTTTGCGAAAGTAGATCACCCCATCTTCTTCCCACTGAGTGGCTGGGGGGTTTGAACCACCAACCTTCTGGTTAGTAGGCAGATGCTTTAGGCACTGTGCCACCAGCGCTCCTTAACCCAAACCCAGCTCAGGGAAAAGTGAGACCACTGGTTGCCTTTGGTCCCTGTATGTTGTTGTTGTTAGGTACCCATTAATCGATTTACACTCATAATAGCCCCATGTGACAAAAGAGAACTATCCCATAGGGTTTCTTAGGCAGTCATCTTTATGGCAAGGAGCTCTGGTGGCACTGTGGTTAAAGCATGCAGCTGCTTACCAAAAGGTCGCAGGTTGGAACCCACCAGCTGCCCTGCAGAAGAGAGGTGAAACTGTGCTTGCCTAAAGAGTTACAGCTTCGGAAACCCCATGGGGCAATGCAGCTCCATTCTGTAGGTTGCTATGCGTCTGAATCAACTTGATGGCAGCGGTTTGGCTTTGAATCTTTGTGGGAGCAGATTGCCAGTTCTTTCTCCCGCAGAGCCACTGGGTGGTGTCATCCTGCCACCTGGGGGAATTCAGCTTAGTTGACTGCCACTGTGGTGGCCAACTGGACAGCGTGTTGAGTAAGGGTGGACACGATCTGAGCTCCTCCCCTGTGGTCAGTCTGATGCTCTCCCTGGGGGCAGCCTGGTGGGATCTGGACAGAAACTGGCTTCCTTACCTGTTCTGGCTACTGAGGAACAGAGAGATGTTTTGAAAAGTCTTATTTTCCAGAACACTGCCTCTCTCCACTCTTCACCCTGGGTTGGGAGAGTACTTGGCTTTAAGTTACACCAGGGCTGTTGGAGACATTCTGGTGGAACATTAAAGGGGACAGACATTCTCGTTACAGACTCTAAACTCCGTGATGAGCTTCTGCAGAATGACAGAATTGGGATCGTGGAGTTGACAGAACTCCAGATGTTTGCAGGTACGATGCGTGTCAACCCCGAACCTGCCGTCTCTGAATCTGCTGGGGGAGCCCAGATTGCTGATTGCTCGCGGGGGATAGTGACAGCCGTTCTCCGCCTTGCAGCCGGGCCCCGCGTTCTCCAGTACGGAGTCAAGGTTGTCACGCAGGCATTGCAGCTGTTCTGGGCTTTTGTGAAGATGGAACCTGCAGACTACATCTTCCTCCAGGTACATATCAACTCCTGCTTCCCTTTACCACTGTTCATAGATTTTTGTTTACTTTCCAGCCTTTAAAAATGCACGAATTGAGAAGTAAATTACATACGCATGTGTGTATGTGAACTTAAAACTGACGAGTAGGACCTGTGGTGCGTGTTCACACTGTTTTGGGGTGGAGGCCAGTGGTGGCTGGGGTTGGATTCTTGCCTTCCATGCGGGACACGTGAGTTTGATTCCCGTCTCACATGCAGCCCCCTGCCGTCTGTCAGTGGGGGCTTACGTGTGGCTGGGACGCTGAACAGGTTTCAGGGGAGCTTCCAGACTGAGACAGACTGGGAAGCAAGCCAGCCTGCGATCTACCAGTGAAAATCGGCCAGTGAAGGCCCTATGGATTCCAGCGGTCCAGTCCGCAGCCACTTACGGGAATGGCACAGGACTGGGCGGTGTCGTGTTGTGTTTGTTGTGTGTCAGGTGGCTGTGAATCAGGCGACTTGACAGCAGCTAACAACAACAACAACATATTGTTATTATGGATAGAGCTGACACATTGCTCGTTACGCGCTAGTCTCTATTCTAAGAACTTTACACGAGGTGACTCATTTAACCCTCACAACAGCCCTAAGAAGCCGGTTCTTGTATATCTACAATTCAGAGACGAGGAAAGCTAGACCCAGAGAGGTTCTGTGAGTGGCCCATCATCACACAGGTCAGAATTGCTGGGGCGAGGATTGGA